GGCCCGCCCGTGGGTTGCTCGCCGGTTCCACTGCCCGGAGACCTCCGCTGCGGGCAGGGGAGCACATAGGTGCACGCTATTTTACGTCAAAATCATAACGCTGAGATCACATTTTTCATACAATTGCAGCTGTCGACTGAATTTAACAATTACTTCTGCACTGTTGTAATTGAATAGGTTCATGTTTATCTGACTCAAGAGGGTGTTTGCTTAGGAGCTTTAGCTTTGTAGTAGTTCAGAAATGTCTCAGAAGAGCTTAGCTTTTATTTTCTTCTTTTTTTTTTTTCTTTTCCCTTTCTTTCTCTTTTTGAAATAAAAGGTATTCCAGTGTCAAAACATTAATGTTGAATGGAAGCAGGTCACTTCCTTGCCTGGGACTTGCATTGAAGCTCCTTCTCTGCCAGTTGTAAATAAAATTTGGCATTTAAAGTTTACTTTGACTTTGGTTAACACGCACTTATTCAAATGCTTTTACCTATAACATGGCAAAAGGAGGAGGAAGTGTTTAGCTCTATAACTGGTTCTTAAACGTAGATAAACTTGTGGTACTGGAAGGCCTTTAATCCCACTTGAGGTTTGATGGCATGTCAGAATAGTTGCAGTTTTGCTGGAGTGTGGAAAAAATAATCGATGTGCTTTTTCTTCACACAGGGATATGACAGAGCATCGATTCTAGCACTGAATTCTTTCAGAAATTCCAACCTGACAGAAATGGGCCTGCAAGAAATAAAGACTATTGGATATTCCAGTCCAAGGAATAGGACTGATGTTACACGGCAGTGCACTGGAGAAATGGAATCTGTGTCAGACCTCCAGCTGGGACTCGAAGTAATTGAGCAAAGCGCACTGCATAAAAACATGGAAGCCCCCACACATGATAGGACTGATTCAAACAGCCAACTAGAAACTGCTCATTGTGGACGGGGCACAATTTATTCTTCCTGGGTAAAAAGTCCCGACAGGACAGGTGTAAATTTCTCAATGAATTCTAATTTGAGGGACTTGACCCCTTCACATCAGTTGGAGGTAGGAGGTGGATTCAGAATAAGCGAGTCAAAGTGCCTGATTCAAGACGATACTAGAGGCATGTTCATGGAAGCATCTGTTTTTTGTACTTCAGAAGATGGAATTGCATCTGGCTTTGGAAGGACTGTCAATAATGACAACTTGATGGATGGAAATTGCACACCCCAGAATCCTCCACAAAAGAAAAAGGTTATAATTTTAAGAATCATTTGGTCTGTCTTATGTAGTCTGCTAGTGATATTTCATAACAGAAGGAACTATAATATAATTAAACCAATTGATGTCACACCTTTAGATACTACAATGTAGTAGACTTTATTCAGGGGAATAATGATTAAAGAGTAAAGCTGCATATACACCCATTAGTAAATTTATTTTTTCCATGTAATAGATACAAATTCACACTTTATTTCACATGAGTCTTAAGTGAATTGATCCAATAAATAACTGCTTTTCAGGTTTGACCGTGGTTGCTTATGCTGCCAAGTATTACAACATTCTGTTTTACAGAACAGACTAGTGTCACAGTGATAATATATTATGAACATCTGTTCTGAATTACTGCAAGAAATTTCACTAACAGATTTATGATACTAAGACTTGAAAATTCTGTTGGGTTTTTTTTTATATATACTTGACATGTCTTGGTTTCACTGTTAGAGCTACACAGAAATCCTTAGTTCTAAGAAATCTTTTTCTTGGCTTAATTTCTTTTTTTATAAAACACTGTGTTTGAAAAAGGAAACACAGTCTGAATTTGCTACTCTTACAAAACTGTTCTTGTAGGTAAGTTGTGTGGTCATGGGCAGGTTGAACCAGAATTGGAAGTTCCTCTGCATAACCGTCTGGGAGTGCACCTCCTTGTCAGGTTAGACTCCATTTGCTCCTTGCAGAAAGGAAGACAAACGTGGGAGGCAGTAGCTTCACAGCTTGCCACTTCTGTCTCATAACAGACTATAGTAATGGTGGTTGTTTGAAAGATCTGATTTATTTGCTTCGTGGAAGTAACAATTTGGGGGTGGGTTCATTCCTGCGTGTGTACAGGCAGGCGTTACGAGCTTTGTGGTTTTTGGTTCCATTGCACCCCCCTGTACATGCCTCCTCCCCTATGTTCTGGGGGCATTCTGCTAGGGAGCACTTGCAATTCTTCCTTCAGAAGTTCTGTGTCAGAACTGGGTGGGGGGTTTTTTTGGGTTTGGTTTTTTTTTTTTTTTTTAGTTTCAGACTGAGACAACTGAAGCAAGATGGTAGTTCTGTTCTTGCCTGGTCCTGACCCTGAGAATTTCATAGATCCCCATGCATGTTACTGTATCTCTGCTGTTGTGGCAAAGCCAAAGAGGCAAAAAGAAGCCAAAATTTCTGCAGTTCCGTATTGTTCTTTGTCTGAAGGTTAACTTCTTTTCAGAGGCCAGCAATGAACGCTTGGTGCTTCATTGCCCTTCTCCCCTTTCTCCTGGTGACTAGGCTTCTGCCAGGTTGTTACTGCTGAGGGCTTGCACAGCCACTGCTGAGGGCTTGTGCAGCCTCAATCTCCAAATTAAAAAAAAAAAAAAAAAGGTGTGTCGTCCCCTGACACTCCACCCTAGGGGACTGAACTGTCAGTTTGAAGAAACTCAGAAAGTCTATCTGTAACCCTGAAAGAAGGGGTTTAGGCTCCCCAGGGGCACATTTTAAAAAACCAAAACAAAACACAAAAAAAACTTATTACAGTACAAAAAAGCCAAGAGGGGAGGAAATCTCATTTAAGGAGAAGATGAGAATTAAGGAATTTTGCAGGATAATAGTAGAAACCTTTCCCTAGGATCACATGAGACATGAATGTCCTTATGCAGTTGTTAAAGGAGATTTTTCCATATCTCAAGGTTTCTGTGGGCATTTCTCATGTGTTTTTTCTCACCATTGTAAAAGTTCATCCCATTTTGCTAGAGTCCTATATATAGTTGGCCATACTGCATACATTTAATCTGTTCTTAACTTCTAAAGCTTTCTTTAAAGGAGTATTCTTCAGAGGATCCCAGTCATGTGATGTAGAAATAATATAATTTTCTTGAAAGCAAGATCAGTTCTTAACCTAAACTTTGTTTCATGAAGAATCAAGTATTTTTAACTGTTGTTACCCTGACATGTAGATGAGTCTTTAATGGATAGATCTACTGGAAAGTAAACAAGAAAAATACTAGGACTGCAAACAAAACAGGCTGCCTTGATTTTTCTCTCTGTGTAGAAATAGATACTTTTATTGAGGAATAAGCCAGTTAAATGTGATTCTTTAAAAATTTTTTTTTTTCATTACTGCACTTCAGTTTTGCTTTGGATGCTATACAGAGTAGGTTGTTGATAATTAAAAGTAAAGATTTAAAGATGTTAATTGTCATTTTCACCAAACTAGTGTCATTAGTGAATAAAAAAATTATGAAGATCGTTATTTCAGCTTTCCACTTCAAATCCTGGAAATACATAGTGAAAACATTAGGAAATTTATTCTTCTCATTGAAGGCAACTTAACTAAATTTTTTACCGGTTTTCTCTTCTATGGAAGCTTCTCTGTAGTGGTTTTACATATGTACATATAAAGTAGGAACTACTCTTCCCTTCATGTGTCATTGTTTTTGGTAGTAAACTTTACTTTGAATTTACCATTTAAAATATGTTCTTAATCAGTCTCTTTTAGAGTGCAGTAAAGACAGAAATTCAAAGTGAACTGGGGAAAGAAAGTTTCAGTGAAAAATACATGAATAGTGTAGAGAATCCTTTGATATATGCAGTGTGATAAAGCAAAAGCTTGGTGGGGTTTTCACCTGAGGGAGTGAAACTGAGAGCGGAATATGACATCTCTTAAAATTGGCTTTACTACATCGGTGTACTCTTAATAAAGCTGCAATTCCAGGAAAATCCATAAAGTCCCTTTGCAGCTTCAACCAACAATCTGACTTCAGCAGCAAACTTTTTCCTGATCTGCATCAATCTTCTGCTGCTTTCCTGAGGCAGCATGCATACTTCCTTCTTGTGGCATAAGAGATTGGTTGGTTGGTAGTGGTTTTTTTTTTTTAGTCATTAATAGTTCAGTACTCTGTAAATTCCCTGCAGATATGATTAAATAGCTTCAATTAATCTAGCCTATTTTCTTCTAGAGCCAAGTAGATGATATGTCTTACTTAATCGAACCAGAGAGAAAGGAAACAAGTATTAACTCCCCTTCTAACGCTTGTTTTGTGGTGTGTTTTTTTCTCTCCCTAGGTGTCACTATTAGAGTACCGTAAGAGACAAAGAGAAGCTAGAAAAAGTGGCTCAAAGACGGAAAACTTCCCCCTGGTTACTGTATCTCCTCAGGCTTCTGGTGGAGGAAATCTAAATGGCAACAATGGTGCTAACGATGGGTATAACAACAGTGGTGAAAATGGGGAGCAAACTGATAGTGCTGCAAGCCTGCCTTTGCCACTGCCAACTACTGCATGTAACAGTGCAGCTCCAGAAGACATTGGCAACAACTGTGCAACTAAGGAATCTTCCAGTGAGAAGAACGAACCAGAAGTTCAGTGGTAAGATACAAAACTATAGGACTTGATGTGCTGAAGAATTACTTAATTCTAAGTCTTCTTTATTTAAAAGAAATGCAGTTTTCTTTGATACGGGTGCAGTTGCAGATTGCTGATTGGAAGCCCTTCCTTCAGATCAGTAAAGACCTGTCTTATTTCTTCACTTGGAAATACAAAAGATACCTCATAAAGATCAGAATATTTGAAAAGTTACCTGTAAGATACTGGTTAACTTACTCTCATTGTGCTTTGCTCTTTTATTTTCAAAGAGCAAAATAGCTATTGGTTTGAGCAAGACAAATTGCTTAGTTCTGTAGATGATCAAATTGTGCAGTAGAGTTGTAAGTGTGTAGAAAATGGCATCCGTGAGTAGGCGTGTGCCTTCCACAATGGTGCAGGTGGGGCTGCATGTGCTTGTTGAGGTGTGTGGAGGAGAGAGCAGCAGCAGCAGCACAGGGGATGCTGCAGTGGCTGTCCGAGTTGAGCCCAGTGCTCAGCGTGGCCGTGGCTCTGCACTCACGTCCTTGCATCCCCATCACTTTGTCTGTGCTGAGTAGAACTATTTTTTATTGTAGATGGCAGAACCTTTCCAGAAGTACTGTAGAGAAGAAGGGAGGAACAGGAGAATAATCTGTGTTGCTTGGCAAAAGCGTCCAGAGGACTCTAGGCAGTCTGTTTTTCAGTGATCTGTCTGGAATGTGTGTGGTGTTGGCCTTTGCGGAGTGCCGCATGCAGGGCTGCACGCGGTCTGCCCGAGAGCGCCTCCGGCTCCGGCACAGAGCGTGCGGGGATGCTCGCGCTGCTGCTTACGGCCGTTAAGTGGTTCCTGTGTGCAGACCATATGCTCTGTTGGATGCCATGCCAGGTACTCCAACAACCAAAAATCCCGGGGAGAGATACAGCATGAAGGCAGATGAGATAGAATTACTTCAGTCTGTATAAATATTGCACACTTTTCTGCTGTGTTTATGGTAGCCTAAGGTAGATGGTCAGCTGTGGTGACACTGTCTCCAAAATGTTAGTAGCACAAAATAAACCCTGCAGACGTTCTGTATGCTGCAGTGAAGGCCTACGAGTGTTAGGAATGAATGAGGGCTGAGGAGTTGAACACTCTTCTGCTCAGATGCTCCAGCTGTTCAGAGTAGGATTTTGTAGAGCCAGCTGAAGGGAGAACACAAGTACAGTCTTCAAAGCTTCACTGAAAAGGAGCTGTAAGTTCAGTGTTCAAAAACCAGTGTACTGTATTGTAAGCAAAGAATGTGGAGAGGCTAAACGGGGAAGAATTTAGTAGTAAGTTTTTTGCAGTAATCCTGCAGAGAGCACCAAAATTTCAGTTGGAACAGTATTATAGAGTAGTGCTAAAATAAAAATAAAGTTTAGTAGAGTGCTGTCATTTATATTCTTCTTGATTGGATTGTGATTGTCAGATGTAATTGATTGTAAGAGAGGAGCTATGACTCATTTTATACTTGCTGATGGGCAAGTTAAATGAAGAAGCTTAAGCAGATACATTTGTAGTTGTGCAGTGTTTACAGCTATGGATCCACTTTAAAGAGAATAAAAAAAAAATACAAAAAAAAATTAATACTACTTCCAGCTTTGGAAGAAGACAGCTTTCTACAAATGGAGAATATGAACCAGTACCTGTAACCTTTATTTTTTGAAGTGTAGTTTGACTTTACAGCTGTTTAGGAAAAGAAAAAAACCCACGTAACTACAGACGTTCTTTCCATATGAAGAATTATTGTCAATTCTTGGAATAGAACCAAGTTTGCAGGACATGGGGATATTTAAAGTGGGAGAAAATAGACACACAATATTTGACAAATCACATGCATTATGTGCAACCAGTTATTTGGTTCCTACATGCAGTAGTCAACACTGTAAACTTTCTGTTACCCAGTATTAGCATATGCATTGTCCTAACATTGGTCCGTGGGAGAACATCCTCTTAAACTTAAAATGTGCTGCTCTCTTCCAGGACTGCATCAACCTCCGTGGAACAAGTGAGAGAACGAAGTTATCAGAGAGCTTTACTTCTCAGTGATCATAGGAAAGACAAGGACAGTGGTGAGCTGATTTACAGTGTCAAAGGCAGATAATCCAGTTCCCCCATGGTAGTCTGGAATCATTCTAATAACATGTTTGGGTCTGCTTCATCTGTAGGGGGAGAACCACCTTGTAGCCCATGCTCACCGTCTCATGTTCAGTCTGCACCTTCATCTCATTCAAATCTCATTTCCCAGTTGCAGCTTAAGGTCCCTTCTTTCACTGAATTTATGGAAGGTCAGTAAGCAGATGACCTTGTATGACACTTGACATACTGAATAGTCTCTGAAAACAACTTCAGTAGCTCTTTTACAGTCAAATATTAAGTGCTTAGTGATCTTTGCAAAAGACTTGATTTTCCCACTTTATCTCTGCTTTATGTCTGTAGAACCCGATCCTGAAAATCCAGAGCCTGCTTCTGAATGTCCGTCCCCAGATACTTCACAGAAGACTTGTAAGAGTCCGTCAAAAGCAAGCAAGGTAACGCATGGCGTGCCACACAGCACGCGGCTGAGGGCACGTGTGCCTCCCCTGGATCTTGGAGGATGCTGCTTGGGTTACGTACACGGGTTCATTGATCAGTGCAGTGATGTAACATAGGTAAACGTGTACAAGTATTTGTGGTGACCCATACGTGCCCAGAAGCCAGTTGTATTTGTTCAGTAGCTGATCTCTCATTCTGTAAACGAGAGGTTGTACCAGCGTGTCACCACAGTTCTGCAGGGTGAATGCTGAAGAACCAGCAGGCAGAACTGACAGGAGTAACTCGATGTATCTGCTTCATACCTGAATGGGAGATTGTCCTTGGCGTGTTGGAGTTTGGTGTGTCACAGTCAGTGGAGGCACCAGTTGGAGAAAGATGTTGAGTAGCTGCTGGTGCAGGAGATGCCTGTGCCTTAAATGAAGTAATTCAGCTTGTAACATTGAGTCTGCACCATGCTGGTTTTAAAATGTTGAATCACTCTAAAAATGACTTAATTTTTATAAATGGTCTTGTCTGGAATTATTTCTTTCAGACTGAACTACAACAAACAGATTCTGATTTTGACCTGATGGGTCATATTTCTGTTACTGCTTTACAATACACTTCCTAGTCTTTGAAGAATGACTGATACATACTTGCTAAAAACAGTGGCTTGCTGAGTCGATGCTTTCTGTTGTCAGGGTTTTTCTTACACCAAATATACATCCTGTGCCTCAACACTTTCACTGCTGGGAGAGAGCAATATTCTGAGACATTCTTTTTGTTCTGACTGATGCACAGTTGAGTATTTTTAACATTGTGTACTGACTGACTTTCTGTTCCTTCTAGCCCCCATCACCGAGTCCTGTAGTTTCAACGCAGTCAGTTGGGAAAACTCCGACAAAAGCAGATCCGCACTGGGAGGCGGCAGCTAACGCAGCTGAGGCTGAGAGCTCGACCCATCCAAAACCCGAGCTGCAGCAGAAACAGCTGGCGAACAACGTCCAAGCACTTTCAAAAACCCACCCGTCCCAGTCACACCTGCGCAGTTCTGCTGAGCAACTCTCACACTCACAGAAGTTGCCTTCTGCACCTTTGAAGCTGCATTGTCCCCCTTCGCCTCACGTGGAAAATCCTCCCAAGCCCTCCACCCCTCACGCGCCCGTGCAGCATGGTTACCTTTCACCAAAGCCTCACTCGCAGCAGCTGGGATCTCCGTACAGACCTCATCACCCGCCGTCACCTCAAGTGGGAACGCCCCAGAGGGAAACGCACCGCAGCTTCTACCCGGCGGCCCCGGCCCTTCAGCCTAGTAATCAGCAGCAGGCTAGTGGACCCTTGTTTACTCAGACAGCTTCAGGACAATCTTCAGCTTCCTACAACCAGTTTAACCAACAAAACCTGAACAGCAACGCACCGCCTCCCCCGCCCCCTCCACCTCCCTCTTCTACTTACTATCAGAGCCAGCAGCCCTCTGGGAACTTTCAGAGTTATAGTCAGCTGAAGGGCAGCATACCCCAACAGACTGTGTTCTCATCTGGACCAAACCCAGCTCTTCCCGGCGCCGCGGGTCAGCAG